GAGGGTTCCCGGATCTACGTGATGCGCTGGAAGCCTTCCTTGGATCCGGAAGGTGGCCAGGCAGCATTTGGTGAGGCTTTGTTCCGGCACGTGCTCAAAAACCTAATTGCCCAGCTGAATTAGTAGAGAGAGAGAGAGAGAGAGACGCCATAGTTTGCTGGGGCAAACAAGAGGAAGAAGCCCAGTATTGGCAAATGCGAAGGTTGCCGTTTTACAACCCCAAAATCTCATTCCAGAAAGATGCTTCTTCAAATCTGCAGCAAGTGTTTTTTAGCGCGTTTGAGGTGAGATCATTTGCCCGGAGATCATTGGCGACAAGAGCATCTGGTCTGAGTCACATTGTAGCTGCGGTGCGCTCTCTCTCTCTCTCTCTGTGTGTGTGTGGGTGGGTGCGTGCTGCGTGCGTGCGTGCTGCGTGTCTGCGTGGGTGGGTGGGTGGGTGGGTGGGCGGGCGGGCGGGCGGGCGCGTGCGTGCGTGAGTGTGCGTGTGTGTGTGTGTGGGTGCGTGTGCGTGTGCGTGTGCGTGTGCGTGTGCGTGTGCGTGTGCGTGTGCGTGTGCGTGTGCGTGTGCGTGTGCGTGTGTGTGTGTGTGTGTGTGTGTGTCTGTGTGTGTGTGTGTGTGTGTGTGTGCTTGTGAGATTGTGCTTGTCAGTGTGTGTGTGTGTGTGTCGTGTGTGTTGTGTTGTGTTGTGACGTGTTGTGTTGTGTCGTGTTGTGTTGTGTTGTGTTGTGTGTGGGCGTGTGTGTGTGTGTGCTTGTGAGATTGTGCTTGTGAGTGTGTGTGTGTGTGTGTGTCGTGTTGTGTGTGTCGTGTCGTGTTGTGTTGTGTTGTGTTGTGTTGTGTCGTGTTGTTTTGTGTTGTGTGGTGTTGCTTGGTGTGGTGTGGTGTTGTGTTTTGTGGTGTGGTGTGGTGTTGCGTGGTGTGGTGTGGTGTTGCGTGGTGTGGTGTGGTGTTGTGTTGTGTGTGTGTGGTGTGGTGTGGTGTGGTGTTGCGTGGTGTGGTGTTGTGTTGTGTGTGGTGTGGTGTGGTGTGGTGCGGTGCGGTGCGGTGTGGTGTGGTGTGGTGTGGTGTGATGTTTGTTTGTGTCTGTGTGTCTGTGTATCTGTCTGCAAGCTAGAAAGGAAGAACAGCCAGACGGAAACCACCGCGAAACCAGAAGGACAAACCCAGCAGGAAATCAGAAGGACATCGGCAGGAAACTACCGAGAAGCCTTCCGTTTGAAGGGGTCCAGTGGCCAAGGCACAGCCCCAGGCGTGGCCTCTTTCGCACTCAATCACACTGGTGCCGGGGCATCCCTGGAGCCGCTGGTGGAGTACACCAAGAAGCTGATGCACTCGGATCCTGGGCTGCAAAACTCGGCACCAGTGCACGCATTTTTGTTTTGGGAGCTTCTGTTGGGGGTTCAGATGCGTCTTTCTCTCTAGGCCAACTATGAAAGGTGAGTTGCAATGACATGATTATTAGAAGAAAGCCATTTTATGAGACGTAAATTCCAGTCCGATAAATAGTATCAAATCAAGTAAAGATACATGTGTTACAGCAGCTGCACAGATCAACAGAAATAATTGAGATAACTATGCAAGAACCCGCAACTGCCAAACGCATTTTTCCCACAATGTCAATAGTTAGAGGTACAAACATACTGCTGGATGTCTTCCCTTTGAATCATTAGTTTCTTTCACCTGACGCGCTACCTCATCTCGCCTGCAATTATGAAGGAAGGTAATCAAGAAGGCAACAATAAGAGTGCAACAGCAATCATAAGTCAAGATATGTATCTGATACAGACGCACGTATCATTAACAACACATACAGTACTAACATAGAATATAATTTATGTGGATAATCCTCTTTTGCCAAGCTTTCTTGTTCCGTTTTTTTTTGGTTTCCTACAAGCTCTAAGGAAACCAGGTTGCTGGTGTAGGGCCAGCCAGGGCAGCCAGGAGATGCCCTGGCACGAGATAAATATTGCAAATAGATGTATGTAGAAAGGGGCAGTCATGCAAGTCGTGCATATTAAAGAATTCACAGTATAAACACATAAATGAACAACACACAATCACATGATTGACCCTGAGAATCCTCGTATTTACGGTTACCATGCTTGTGAGGTTACCAGGATAAGCTGTCCCAACATGCTATATGTTTTCATCATGAATCTCTTTCCTTTTCTCTCCTTTTTAGGTGATCGCTAGAGATTCTAAAGACGTATACTTTTTTCCCGTTCTTCCAGCTCTGGTTTGCCCAGGAGAGGGGCCAATGGGCGCACATGCCCTTGTATTTGCGGGCTACGGCTGGCATGCGCCTGTTGTTCCCGGAGCAGCGCGAGAGCATCCTGGCCTCTTGCCTTCAAGCCAAGCGCCGAAGGCAGGTATGTCGAAACCCGAAAGGAGGAGGTTTGTGCCTGGGTGCGTTTTACACAGGGCGTGGCAGGGGGTTCGATTCCAGGCCGCACTGTGCAGCCCTGGATTGGTTTCGCACCAGCTGGCGTTACATGTTGCACTTGGTCAGAGCAGGCTGGTGCGAAGGCAGCGTTGGCACTTCTTGAAACAGGGCCAGCTGTTGGTCTGCCCTTTCGGACGGCTTGGCTCTTTGCAGCCATTTGGTTTGAGGCTGTTCTGAAACAAATGGGGGGATGACATGGTTGCCCGTTGTCTCGAACCCCCTTCGCAATGTGGGACAAAACGACACGCCTTGGGGTCCCAACCTGAGGTCCAAGAGGTGTCAAACACATGGCAGAGGAGGTCAACCAAAGCCCTGATTTCAGGCAGTAGGACCAGAGAGGCTTCTGAGGGCCCTGTTTCGGAAGGTTTTGGCCTGATTTCTTTGCTTGTTTTTGTTGTTCTCGTCAGCTGAGGACAACATCCGCACCTACTTCCGCACGCTGCCCTTCCTGTTCCGTGCGGGGCCTGGATCTGACCTCTGCCCTGTGCGTGGAACGTTCGCCGCGAGGTGACGACATGGCATCTGTGGCCACTGGAGAGGCTGGACAATGCTCTCAGCTGAGCTTGGGTTTCAGATTGCAGCCGTCTGGATATTGAAGCCTAAAAGTGCATCGGCCCTTTCTGCAGGAGGAGGGCGTCTTTGGCTGGATCTCTGCGCAGGGGCCCAAGTGTTTGATTCACTTCTCCGAGTGAGGGCAGGAAGCGGACGCGCTAGTCGCCTTGGACTCTGGTTTGTGCCCCATTAGCAAGCCGACACATAACACAAAACCCACAACCCACAACATACAACACAACGCGCAACACACACACACAAAGCAACAGACGCCACACACCAGACAACAGACATCACACAACACACAGCGAAACACACACAACACACCAACACACCAACAAACCAGCACACCAACACACCAACACACCAACAAACCAGCGCACCAACGCACCAACACAACAACACACAACACACAACACGCAACACAACACATGCCACACGCACAACACGTAGAAGCACAACAGACGCCACATAGCAGACAACAGACATCGCGCAACACACAACACAACACACAACACACAACACGCAACACAACACATGCCACACGCACAACACGTAGAAGCACAACAGACGCCACACAGCAGACAACAGACATCGCGCAACACACAACATAACACACAACACACAACACACAACACACAACACAAAACACAACACACAACACGCAACACAACACATGCCACACGCACAACACGTAGAAGCACAACAGACGCCACATAGCAGACAACAGACATCGCGCAACACACAACACAACACACAACACACAACACACAACACACAACACACAACACACAACACAAAGCACAACACAAAACACAACACAAAACACAACACAAAACACAAAACACAAAACACAAAACACAAGACACAAAACACAACACAACACAACACAACACAACACAACACAAACCACACACACAACACACACACACGCACACACACACAACACACACACACAGACACAGACACAGACACAGACACAGACACAGACACAGACACAGACACAGACACAGACACAGACACAGACACAGACACAGACACAGACACACACAGCACACACAGCACATGCACACGCACACGCACACGCACACGCACACGCGCACGCACGTACACACACACACACACACACGCACACACGCAACACAATACCACACCATGCAACACCGCACCACACCACGCAACACCACACCACACCACAAAACACAACACAACACCACACCAAGCAACACCACACAACACAACGCAACACGACACAACACAACACAACACGACACGACACAACACGACACACACACACACACTCACAAGCACAATTTCACAAGCACACAAACACCCACACGCAACGCAACACAACACAACACGACACAACACAACACGTCACAACACAACACAACACACACGACACAAACACGCACACGCTGACAAGCACAATCTCACAAGCACACACACACCCACACACACACACACACGCACACACACGCACGCACGCACGCACGCACGCCAAACGCACGCACGCACGCACACACGCACGCACCACACACACACACCACACACACACACGCACACACACACACGCACACACACACACAACACACACACACACACCACACACCACACCACACACACACACACCACACACACACACCACACACACACCACACACACACCACACACACACCACACAACACACACACACGCACACACACGCACACACACACCCACCACACACACACACACACCCACCACACACACCACACACACACCACACACACACACACCACACACACACACACATACCACACACACACACACGCACACACACACACACACACACACACGCACACACACACACGCACGCACGCACGCACGCACGCACGCACGCACGCATGCACACACCCACCCACCCACCCACCCACCCACCCACCCACCCACCCACCCACCCACCCACCCACCCACCCACCCACCCACCCACCCACCCACCCACCCACCCACCCACCAACA